CTAGGTCTCCTTTCAAAGTTAGTAGGGAATTCTGAAGTATTCCCCGGTAAGACATTCTCAGCCGTTTTTCAGATAACTTTATATTTTTATTGTTCTAGGTACGGTGGTGACGTTCGTGGGGGCAATGATGCAAAAGCCAGTCCGCTTAGCGCCTCAGTCGGTAGCACATGCTATGTTCCTTGATCAAAGCCATGACAATCCGTGCCCTATCGAGGTAGCACTTCATTTTTTCGTTCGTTTCATTCTTCTAATGATTGATTGATTACATCCAGACACGATCGGCATACGATTTGCTGCCCACGGCCGCTATGGTGTCCATGGCATCCTGTGCTGTCGGCTCGGTGAGAGGGTACGATGAGCTGGTCAGACATCAGGTATAGAGGCTATTCCGCGTTATTTTTTTTCGAGACATGATTCTATAATTTGGCACTATCGCAAGATACGCATTGCGGTGGCAATGAGTTCTTAAAACGCGCAAACTATCTCCTTTTTGTTCGAATTGGGGCTAAGCCGCAGGGGGACTCCCTGGGAGGAGGAGAGGCCACAGGGTACGCTATCATTTCCCACGTTTTCCTCCTGCCTCTCTTAGGTCTTAAACGGCGCCCCTGTATTCCTCGAATAGCTGCCCACGTGTATTTGGAATTTTTAGCACCGTACCGACCAGTCAACTTTCAGATTCACGTCGTCAATGAAAAGCGTCCTTATGCTAGATGGGGCAAAGAGACAACTGCTAACAGTGGTATAGTTGAAGCTCGGCGCATCCTTAACGAATTGCATCTCTCTTTGGCAAGAGCAAACTATACACAGGTATGCTTCACGTGAGCCTGCTCATGAATACATTATTCGCAGTGTGTTCGTTTTTTACGTGATTGAGTTCTTGCAGGTCTTTGTTGATCAAATGAGCCCAGATGTTGTTGGAATTACGAGGCATAACCCAATCACACACGATACCGTAGTTGTGGTGTCCCACACGGCTTTCAATAAATATCAAATCAGCAAAGGATCGTGTATATCTGAAGCACATCCCGATTGGAGGTTGGCTGACAAGTTATATTTCCACAAAACAACCCTGATAAAAGCACCTTTTGTAGGTGTTCTGGAGACAATTCTTTTCGAAATGCGAATCGACGAGAAATCTTCTGAATCCGATCCAGGTACGTTGTACAGGGTGCGCCAAATTACTTGCTCAAATTTTCAACCCTGTAAAAACTGTAATATAATAAATTGAGGGCTCGTTTCCTGATAGAAGTTTACGAATGGAATGCCATTTACAAACCCGGCTTCATATCCCAGAGTGTCTCTTCTGGACCGAGCTTTAGCCTTTAGTTGCGAGGAGAGGTCGTTTTCTGCGGCGCGTAGGTGCTCCAAAGGAAATTCTTTCCAAAGGTAGAGCAGGTTCCTCATCTGAGCTGCGGCTGGGTAGTGTTATCATGAGCAGGCCTTGCCCTCCGATAAAAGCTCAACACAAAATATCGCACTCTGAAAAAGTAAGTACTTTTGATTGACCGAAATCCAGCGCTGGTGAGACCAGGGCTGGTGTTCTCGCGTGCTGCGATGTCACCTTCGATCTAACGACTAGTGCTGTACCCTGCAGAAGCACGAACGTTCCGAATTAATTGTGGGGTTCTGTCCAGGGAAGTGAGGTGTTAGTCAGCATCCCTTCCGGGTTACTTCCTGCTTCAACTGGAGTATCCTCTTTGATAAAAACAAGTTTGACTTCATAGCTAATCGCAGACCAAACCATGATTTTATTGCCTCTCCGTAACATTCACGGATTCTCCATCTATCATCAGCTTCCACCGTTCCGAAGATGAAGTGCTCCATTCATTTGCATCGCAGGATAAGTTCACCTACGAACGGCGTTTCACGCCCAAAAAGCGCATGTCTCGGGCGAGCGACGTACGATCGTTTTAGATATATTAGGTTGGAAAGAAAGTCCTGCAACACTTTTTCAATTTTTGATTTTAATTTTATCTTTTTTGGTTTACTTCTGACCGGTCTTATATCTACCATGAGTGTCCACCACTTGTCTTCAACGCTCAGAAAATTTCTTGATGCTCCTTCGCCAAAACCCAGCGGAGTGCGGGTCGAGAAAGGAGGCGACCTCACTTTCGAGTTGGAGTTGATCGTCTGATTATTTCGTTATCAAGATGATGATTAAAGGTCCAGGATAGGTAGCACTCATTTACAGCTCGACCAGGGGATTACGCTAAGAGAGGAAAGAAATCTTGCCGCAACTCCAGAATTTCTTACCGGGCTCATTTCGGATCATGGTGATTCGCAATGTCATGAAAGAAATGAATATTGTCGCGGTACGAGGGCTCTTGACGAGCTACCTCGGCCAGCTTCTGGTACTCCACAACCTAGGCCACTGCCTACACAATGGTGCCCATAACGAAGGGTATGTAGTGGAGCTTCTGTAAGAGCCCTACCTGTAATGGAGTGTGAGGGATGCTGCTGGCTTCTTATAAAAATATCAAAAGATCGGAAGCGCTGGTAAAGGTGAAACACGCTGTATCGCTGAACGGCATGCCATTAGAAGCTATTGCAGATAGTGTCAGTCGTTGACACGAATTCCATGTTATGGAATTCCAATGGTGTTTGTGTACGACATTTTGACTAGACCCGTGACTCGGGAGTATGGATTTCTAGTAGTTCGAGGTTTTTGAGTTTTCTTGATACCCTACTGCTCCTGCACGAAATATACGTCATCTGCTTCGTGGATTGTAACGACTTTGTGAGATTGACTCGCTAACACTGGTACGTCTACCAATGTTACTATGAGATTGTTCAGAGAAACCACCACAAATTTTGAGAAAAGAGTGGGTTGCCAGGAACTTTCTTTCCACCTCACCTTACTCTTTCGCAGTTCTCGCATTCCCGGGTATCTGTATGCGATGCGAGCAGTGGACGCTCGAGCACTTTTTGGACTCTTTGTCTTATTGTTGGGAACCGACTCAACCAACCATACAATCTATCATAAACCAACTTCTAAATTATATCGTGAGGAGATAAATACACACAATCTGTATGATGTCCACTAACATTTTCTCAACGACGGTGTTTCATAGCTTATACGGATGTCCTTTATTCAGGAATAATCCACAAGAAATTGGAGAGTTATGCGCCCACGTCACTCACGATTATAACTTACTTATATATATATTAGTTTTGGGCAACTGGCACCTGATGTCTATGTCTAAACTGATCTTAGTGATCATCGGTGGGCAAGACAGTTATATGCCTGATGTTGCCCAACCTATTCTATAACACGATCGCTCGCGCTGGGCACTGAAAATGAGGACTTCTTAATAGAGCACACTGATGATGCGCAAGGACAAGTGATCTACTGAGCAAAGAGGATTTGAACACATGCCTACCTAGCTTCTTATTACAGTTTTCTACGGCAAAGAAAACGTGATAACAAAATTCCACATGTAAAGTTTTCAGCAGATGTGTAGGCCCTCGGCACTAGGCGAAGGCTTGAAAGGTGCAGAAACCCTGTAATTTATGAACAAGTTTGTAGAGGGAAATCCGTGTCAGGAAACCGTAACCTCTCACATGAGTGAAACATTTATAAGCGTTTCGGCAGCTTAAAGCCAAATATTTAAGGTTGATCATAGCACCACGCACCATCTCCACTATTTCACTATCCAAGACACTCGCATTTTGGCTTATATTAATTATAGTGTCTTCACTAATGATGGTGCTATAAAGAACACAACCATTGTTACATAGAAAAAAGACGCTCCAGCATAGGCGCGAGCGACTAGCTCAGCAAAGTTATATATATGCTAAATTAATCTTTTTTTCCCCTTGGGAAAATCTCATATATCAAATTCTTCGTTAATGTTCTTGATCTCATCACCTATCCAACGCGATTCCTAAGACAACCAGGTACAGAACCATCACACAATAAAAAGTCAGGCAAGTTAGAAGAAAACACATATGAGGCCGCGAATTAGTTCAACTGCTGCGGCCCACACAATATAGTACCAAAGCATTTCACTCGCATTCAAACCGTGTGAAATAACGATGAAGTTTATCTTGATGGTGTCAACTGCATTAAGGCTGGATAAGGGATTAGCAGTCGATGAATAAATTCGTATGACGTAAAACACGACACCCTGCGCTTTGGAGCACTACCTTCTTAAAATGATTTCCTCAATATGATTCCATGAGTTACTTAATTGTATACCACTGCATCGGTTATCATTTTACGATAAGTTGGTCGAAAAGAACGGGCGAATAGATGATTACGCGTAGAAAGGCGAGCGCTGGCAGATGCGCGTTCCACAACTGAAAGGCAGGGCCACGCCCGCGCCACTTGCGCCGCTGCCCACCCATCCCGTGGCCATCAGGTCCTAGCCTTTCAGCAGAGAGTGTGTTAGCGTTGAAGAGGGCGCGAAGTGCGTAGCCGCCATACCCATGGGGAGAACACTTGCCAAGCTGGAGTCTCATTTCTCGTGTTTTGGACCTTACTCATGCGTTTTTTTTTCAATTCCTGCATCACCAACCACCTCTATCTTGATTTTTAATGGGGCATTTTCAGTGTAAACGCCGCCTTTAAATCCGATCCCTAGAAGGGCTGGTCAACAAAAGTGAATACACTGCGAATGGGTCTATTAGGTGCTTTCGGAAGCCATTCCTTCACTTGCTGCGAGTTTCATCCGATAACAAATAACTGAACGTCAGAGGGCTGATCATATCACAAGCGAACCTTTGATCAGAACAACCGCTCCTCCACCATTTTCTTCCACATCGATTTATGTGGAGGCAAGAAGTAAGAGAGAGCAGTACTTCATTGGAGTCTCGGACTCCCATCGCTGCTCACTTCTCAAAAACCCTTGCCTAAAATATGGACCTTGTAGTTAGAGAGTCCAGATAGCACATCCGGGTTTTCTGAAAAAGCGTCTTACAGGACTCCGAGCGCAGCTTACAGTTGAGGAAAGGGGCACAGTTTCATTGAGGCTCTCCCTCTCTCAACCCCACTACTATGATCGAATTCTCGCCTAATTTAGGCAAGGTTTTTGAGAAGTGAGCAGCGATGGGAGTCCGAGACTCCAATGAAGTACTGCTCTCTCTTACTTCTTGCCTCCACATAAATCGATGTGGAAGAAAATGGTGGAGGAGCGGTTGTTCTGATCAAAGGTTCGCTTGTGATATGATCAGCTCTAACTTTTAGTTCTCTTTGATATCGGATGAAACTCAGCAATGAAGAATGATTCCGAAAGCAACTAATACTAGACCCATTCACAGAGTGTATTCACTTTTGTTGACCAGCCCTTTCTAGGGATCGGCATTTAAAGGCGGCGTTTACACTGAAAATGCCCCATTAAAAATCAAGATAGAGGTGGTTGGTGGTGCAGGAATGAAAAAAAACCCATGAGAAAGGTCCAGAACACGAGAAATGAGACTCCAGCTTGGCAGGTGTTCTCCCCATTTATGCGGCTACCATCGCTGCCCTCTTCAACGCTAACACACTCTCTGCTGAAAGGCTAGGACCTGATGGCCACGGGATGGGTGGGCAGCGGCGCAAGCGGCGCGGGTGTGGCCCTGCTACGCCGCTGTGCATACCTTTCATTGTGAAACGCGCATCTGCCCGCACCCATAGAGAACCTGCCCGCCTTTCTACTATGTATATTCCCCTTCTTCGACCTCCGACCTTATCGTAAATAATATATCGTTAACCTTGAACTTAGGGGAGAGGGGTAGCTCCAAGTTTCGCTGTTATCATACACATGTTCAAGCGATCTAATCCCTGCATCTAGCTTTAATTCTCGCCAGGCCACCGAATCTTTCATCGTTTCAGGGTTGATGGGTTGATCCATTGGTACATTGGTGTGGGCTCACTTGAACAATTCGCTCCAAATGACCATACATTTTGCCTTTTGGTATTTCAAATCCTTGGCTAGGTAGGAATCAAGACATTTAACGAAATATTCTTCTCATATGAGATTTTTCCAAGGGAAAAAGAACTGCACTAAAACCGTGTTGCCGAATACTTTTGACCGCTGCAGTACAATGGCTGCTATAGCACCAATCATTATGAGCCTATTTAAGCCACATCCAAACGTTCCTGATAGAAAGTAGAATGCGTGGCAGATCCCAAAGAGGGGTTGGTAAGCTGCAAACGCTTTATGTTTGACCCTGTGATTAGTTTTAGGTTTCCTGACACGGATTTCCCTCTACAAACTTGTTCGAAAATTACAGGGTGTGCCAAAATTACTCGCTCAAAGTTACAGCGGTTGTTCTGTTGACACTTGTGAACGATAACGAGCAGTAGGTGGTCATCCTTTCGGTCACCTCGTCCTCATCAGTGCTTTGAATCCACTCTCAGCGCCCACGATTTTAGAATAGTTGGACTATATTTCCCCGACGCCATGACCACTCAGGTCAGTTTAACATGCCTGGTCCCAGTGCAAAACAATAGCCAAAATACAACTAGGAATGTGGCATAACTATGAATTTTGTCATCAACCAAATTAAGGACTTCGAAGGTATGAAATATCGCTGAGAATGGTGGACATCATCAGCTACAATCTCCACAAAATTTTTAAAGTGGTGTGAGATATGGTGGGCTCCAACAATGACGAGGTCCGAAATGCCTCACTCCATGCTCCATCCATAAATATTACCCGGTGCGAGAACTCCAAGATATTTTCCAAACGATTACGTCGGCTCGCCACCGAGACATGGTCTTTTTGGGTGAAACGCCGTGCGAAGTGAACTTATTTCGATGGTCAAAATGGTGGAGGCACTATCATTAAGAGCGATGGAAGCTGGTGATGGATGGAGAGAATCGCGAAATGGTTACGGAGAGGCAATAACCAAGGATTGGCTGTTCTGCGTATTAATATGAAGTAATTTTTTAGGCAAGAGGCGTGATACAGTTGAAAGCAGACGAGCAACTGGAAAGAGTGATCTGACCAAACTCATCTTTCTGGACGAACCCTTTATTAATTCGGCACGCTCGTGCTTTGCAGGATCGTCTCTGCTTAGCAGACCGAAGAGTGGACTCGAACAAGCGGAGAACACAGCCCTGCTCTCACCAGCGCTGGATTTCGGTCAATAAAAAGTACTTACTTTTTCAGAGTGCGATATTTTGTGTTGAGCTTTTTGGAGGGCAAGGCCTGCTCATGATAACACTACCCAGCCGCAGCTCAGATGAGGAACCTGCTCTACCTTTAGGAAGAATTTTGTTTGGAGCACCTACGCGCCGCAGAAACGACCTCTCCTCGCAACTAAAGGCTAAAGCTCGGTCCAGAAGAGACACTCTGGGATATGAAGCCGGGTTTGTAAATGGTATTCCATTCGTAAACTTCTATCAGGAAAGATGCGCCTCAATTTATTTATTACAGTTTTTACAGGGTTGAAAATTTGAGCAAGTAATTTGGCGCACCCGTGTACAACGTACCTGGGTCGGATTCAGAAGATTTCTCGTCGATTCGCATTTCGAAACAGAATTGTCTCCAGAACACCTACAAAAGGTTTTTATCAGGGTTGTTTTGTGGAAATATAACTTCTCAGCCAACCTCCAATCGGGATGTGCTTCAGATATACACGATCCTTGCTGATTTGATATTTATTGAAAGCCGTGTGGGACACCACAACTACGGTATCGTGTGTGATTGGGTTATGCCTCGTAATTCCAACAACATCTGGGCTCATTTGATCAACAAAGACCTGCAAGAACTCAATCACGTAAAAAACGAACACACTGCGAATAATGTATTCATGAGCAGGCTCACGTGAAGCATACCTGTGTATAGTTTGCTCTTGCCAAAGAGAGATGCAATTCGTTAAGGATGCGCCGAGCTTCAACTATACCACTGTTAGCAGTTGTCTCTTTGCCCCATCTAGCATAAGGACGCTTTTCATTGACGACGTGAATCTGAAAGTTGACTGTCGGTACGGTGCTAAAAATTCCAAATACACGTGGGCGCTATCGCAGGATACAGGGGCGCCGTTTAAGACTGCGCCTAGAAGAGGCAGGAGGAAAACATGGGAAATGATAGCGTACCCTGTGGCCTCTCCTCCTCCCCTGTGGCTTAGCCCCGATTCGAACAAAAAGGAGATAGTTTGCGCGTTTTAGAACTCATTGCCACCGCAATGTCCGTATCTTGCGATAGTGCCAAAATATAGAATCATGTCTCGGAAAAAACGAGGAATAGTCTCTATACCTGATGTCTGACCAGCTCATCGTACCCTCTCACCGAGCCGACAGCACAGGATGCCATGGACACCATAGCGGCCGTGGGCAGCAAATCGTACGCCGATCGTGTCTGGATGTAATCCATCAATCATTAGAAGAATGAAAACGAACGAAAAAATGAAGTGCTACCTCGATAGGGCAGGGATTGTCATGGCTCTGATCAAGGAACATAGCATGTGCTACCGACTGAGGCGCTAGGCGGACTGGCTTTTGCATCATGGCTCCCACGACGTCACCACCGTACCTAGAACAATAAAAATATAAAGTTATCTGAAAAGCGGCTGAGAATGTCTTACAGGGGAATACTTTAGAATTCCCATGGAACTTTGAAAGAAGACCTAGGTACATCGATAGTCTTGAACGCTGATTACAAATAGGGACACTAAAACTGCTACGTGAACTTTCTAAGAAAGTTGTGAGCCTTCAAAGTTGGCAGGAAACGGGCGCCATTTCATGAGAACAGCTAAGAACTGGCGAGCCGTGGTTTCTTCCTTAGAAAGTTCACAGTTTAAGGAGTCCCCATTTGTAATCAGCGTTTAAGACTCTATCGATGTACTGTAGGCCATCTTACAAAGCAGGATCAACCGTGACGTTTGCACTTCTTCATGAATGGAAATTTCGCGACGCCCTCCTTTGGGGGGGGGGGTTGAAGGGGATCTCGATGCGACCCCCATCACCATAAGTCTCAGGAGGCTCCCCCAACACGACCACCCTTCCACCCTTCCTTCCTCCCCTGACCACCACCCTCGCCATCATGGCTGTTTCTATAGTATGTGATTCTCAGACCAGTTACACAACCCCAATTCAAAATTCCTACAAAAAGCCGTCGAGCGGAGGGGGGAGGGAACGGGAGGGCCAGGGGTGGGGGGAGTACACTGGTGCGATGAAACGGCAAATTTTTCCACCTATCCCACCCCTCCACATCATCCACCAACCCTCTAAAACCAATCTAAATCGTCTAAATCGCCTCACCATTCACTAAACAAATTACCTCAACCCCTGAATGCGACCCCTTCCCAAATCCACTACAAATGCGACCCCCTCGTTCGAATAGTGCGAACGCACGGTTGACCCTGTTTCAAAGTTCCATGGGAAGTTTAAAGCATTCCCTTGTTAGTAAGTATCCGTAAAAGTCAAAGTGAAACGAACCTGTATACAAGCCTTCCTTGTTCATGGCTATCATGTGCCGATTGCGCTTCTGTAAATTAGAATTCAAGAAAGATACAAAAATAAGCATCGCATAATCCCACAAGGAATAGTATGTGTCAAGTACGCATTCAATGTTACTACACTGCTAAAACGGAATCGTATACATGGGCGCACTTCAAAAAATCAAGCAAAGCATAGCACCCCATTTGCTACTTTTATGGACACGACATTAATAACCATGTATCGAATATCACAGATTCACAAGCTTTTTTGGCAGAATATCCATTTTCGCCAATTTGGCAAGTTCCTATATGAAACCTAAAGGCACGCCACAGGATAAAGTGGCTCGATCCTTCTTAAAGGCAAGCCCCGGGATTAGCTCAACTAGTAGGAAGGATACTGCGAGGGAACTTGTAGTGTCCTTCCTTACAGAAAGCGTACCACATCCGTCGCACAAAATGCGCAGTTAGGCGCTGCAACCATCGGCCCTTATTGCAACGCTTCCCACCCACCCGCCATTGATGTGGAGATCAGCGCGCTCTCGAACGGCGTGCTCTCTCGCGTGTTCTGTCTTCTCTGATCGTTTTGTCTCGCCCTCGTACTACATCCGACCTTACTGGAGGTCAAGGCCTTAATTTTAGCGTTTCCGATGGCTTCTCTTGCTTTCTTTTCCACTTTTAGTCCATTCGCAGTTCATCCATCACTATGATGCGCTCTTATACACCAGTTTTATCCCGGGACTTGCCTTTCAATGGAAGCATTGGTGCGATGTGGGCTGGAAAAGAATCCGCCAAAAGGAGAAGGACACCAGAATACTGCCAGAAAATAGAAGCGGTCAGTGGTTCTTACAGTTCCCTAGTGTCCCGTACTCCCGAACCGAGTGGAGTAATATTTTATACACTGACACTGTAACAGTCTGTTACGCGGCAAGAGTTATCCACCTAGCTCACCCAGGTTGTGCCTTTTCAGCAAAATCACATAGAATTGAATACTTGGGGGGTATGGTTCGATATCATTTTTTCACGTCGACACAGTTATTCAAATTTTCAATTGTTTCTAAAATAAATGCAGTTAGAAAGCGCGATGGCAATTGGCCTTTTAAGTGGATACTTCAAGAGCGTTATGGTGGAGCTTAAGGCGGCCTGACCAGCCATCCAGTCGCTACAACGAAATTTTGCTGAACAGCGAGCGTTCTGCCGTACATTACCGCCCAGGAAAAGCGATTTTTTGACTGCAGCTCTTTCGCGCTGTTTTTATTTTGATCACATTCCTCAGTGTAATCGTGCCCAGAAAGACTAAATGATGGGGTGTGTCAACTAACCCCCCCGTTGATCGCAAACAGCGATGAAATAAATTAGAAACGGACATTACGTTCTCACATCGAGTACAAAACATTCACGCTATGTTCGAGGTTCGATGAGATGAAGTAACTCTATAGATGAATTATAAATATCTGCTATTTTCAGTCTATTGATCAGAATGGTGCGTAAGGCAACAGCAAAGACTCGACGCCGGTGGACGTCGCTCAGCAATACCTGGTATGAGTGACGAATACCCAAGCCCCGGTTCAGACATGTTGTACCCTTTCTATCAGTCCTGTGAACCAATTCGGCAAATACGCTACGATATCGGACGAACAGTCCGCAGAGCCGCATAGCAAGTACGGCTACCTGACAAAAATGGGATGAACCTTACGATCATGCGACAAAAAAAAACCAAACTAATCTCACTGCGAACCCTAAGTAAGGGGTGATAAGAGTCGTATCCACCATAATAGTTATGGGATGCGTTGTTTTTATGTTCACACTTTCATATAATTTCTAGTTGATCGATATATATTTTGGGAGGATAGAAGGAGGGAGGAGGTCACCCTGGATAAAGAAAGGAGGGGGGGAGCCAAGAAGACCGAAATTGTACATTCATTCTCCAGAATCCCTCCTCTCCACGATTTACTCTAAACTGGCCACTCACTCTATATCCCTTAACAACTATTTATCAGGGCAGTCAGTGGTGGTTTACTAACCATAGAGGCGCCCGCTCTCTATGGTTAGATATCATAAGAATCCAACACACATGACTGCTCTGAGGCTGCATCACTGATGGAGACATGGAGTGATCGACCAGGTTATTTATTTTCGATGTATGGAGAGTTTTGAAAAGGTTTCGTCTGTGAATTTGCAGGGAACTCAAATAGACAGTAGAATCGGGAGATAAATTTTCAACGAGCACTGCGAATGTTCGGAAATCGGAATCACATGGTCCCTAATGTGGTAAATCGAGCAATTCGTTACCGAAGTAAAGGTATAAAAAAAAGGATAAAGCATTTGCCGTTGATCAATCCCTTTTTGGGATGCGGCACGCATTCTACTTCCATTTGTACATTCGTAGTGGCGTTTGAATGCGATGTGGCCTATACAATGACTTGCGGGGGCCAGCCGATGTACAAGTCAGTTTTTTATCATTCAGACAGGTCGTGAGTAATTTAGTTAATTGCGAACCCGGAGGATGAGCTTGGTGGGCCCGGATAACGCAAACCAGGATCTCGATCCAAGGCGCGCGCATCGGGCAGGGCGTGCAGTTGCCATTACACCGTCCGCTACAAAAAGTGGAAGGTAAATTTAAAGGCAGCGAACACGATGATAAGAACAGTGGCGTTTTTGGTGACGTAATTGGCCGTCATTGATAAAGGCTGCTGGAGGTGTGCTAGTGAACACCTCTTAACGCGCTTTCACTGAAATGACGTTTCAACGACGTCACTGTAACCGATCCTTCAGGCTGGCCCTGCCGTCTGATCCAATTGTCGGGTGTCCCCAAGAGGCCCATCGCGCGGCGAAGGAAGAGACGCAGACGCGGCAAAGGACGAGTCGCAGCGCATACTGTAGCGGTTAGGCGTCAGGTTAAATAGAGTGTACCATACTACGTCTCATATCGCACAGCACGCGCTGCGACTCGTCCTTTGCCGCGTCTGCGTCTCTTCCTTCGCCGCGCGATGGGCCTCTTGGGGGACATTCCCACCCATCTTCAGGTTTCTGTTCTTAAGTACGTACCGCAAATGACACTCGAGTTGATCTACAGATTTGGGTGCAAAAAATGATTTTTACTGGGGATTGACCACTGTGGAACAGGTTAGACTACTATTCCGTACCACAGAAAATGTTCAAGTTAGGAAGAGGAAGAAAACGGGATAAGGAAGAGCTTACCTCAGCAACTGGATGGAGTACTTGACGTGGCATGCGAAGGCGTGAACATACGCGCACATTTTTTCTCTGAAAAAGCATGCTCAGAAATAACATTTGATTTCTACATTGTACGAGTAATAAAACATACGTGTAGTCCTTCATGTACTGCCAAAGGTAAGGGCAGTCTTCTGGCTTTTCACCGTAATTCAACTTTATCGAGTCTCCCCAACAGACCAATTCACGACGCAGGTACACCTTTGAAAATCGACCTTTTTTGCGAGTTTACATCTTGAATTAGAAAAAAGACAGACCTGCGAGTCTTTGAGGGCAAAGTTCTTCAACGGATTGTCACTCATCACCCATCCGTTGAAAGCCATCAGATAGCGTGACTTCTCTGGGTCGAACGCGAGCTTCTCCTCTTCTTCCCAAGAATCCATCGCCTCATTCAGCAAGAAATAACTGGAACGAATTGACTTCAATCGCTTTCCTAAGCTGGAACAGATATCACGGCGACGAACTCTGTTGTAAGAGGATGTTTAGGTGTTACAGCTCCATATTTAGGCCCATCGTCGGCTAAACGCTGGATAGAGAATGTGTCCCATCATTGCGCGGAGTCCCGACATGAGGATTTCCCATGCTACCTTTCCCGCTGAAACAGCTCATTTCATTTGAATTTTCCTTTTTTGAATTGCTTAGGCAAAAACCAAGGAAACCGTCGCACCTTCGCCGTTCAAATAGTGTAGATGATATTCAAATGCAGCAACACACTTAGCTATACGATCTTCTTCCGACGTGGCATCATCTCTGAAATGATGATAAAAATGAAAGTAGTAATCTTCATTTCATAAATTTCGAATTTGTGACATAATAGTGATATCATACACGATTTCAAGTGCAGGAAGAAAATGCTCGATTAATCTAACCCGACGGGAAAGAAATTTATTTCGAAGGTTCAAACAAGAACCAATCGGCCGTAACAACTGTTTATTCGACCTTGATGTAATCCAGCCAGTAAGAAAGTATGAGCAAGGTTGAATGTCTAGAAGAAAAATATAAAGGTGAACCTCGGTCTATTGAAAATTCGCATCGCTTTCGTCCAGTCAACAGAGGAACCGAATCGTCGCCATTCAGGGTCTTGTTCAATCGGTAAAAACTCATCGAGAGGCTCCGACGAAGCTCCCTCTGTAAAAACAGGTATCTATTTACTACATGGTTGAAAGGAGGCACAAACTAGGGAAATATATCTCAAGAAACGGCAAGCCCCTAGCTTCAAGGCATACCCCAGGCAGAGGTCGTGTGAACGCTTCCCTTCGGTCTGTAGTATAGACCCCTAGAGGACAATCACAAATGTGGCGTTCCCGTGCACGGAAACCAACCGACAAGAGCGCTTGGGCCTTGCAAAGTAAGCTGCTGAAGCTGCAGATTTTTTCTTATCAGGCTGTTGTCTGGCACTCTCTCATCTGTAGCGCTCTCTCGCCTCATACTCTCCTCTCCGCGCTTAGTCTCTCGTTCCTTTAGCACAGCCGATTAGGAAGGTGAGTGAGCCCTCAACCTGAGCGTTTTCGACGGATTCTTTTCCTTTTTTCTTCACTGCCGGCCCACTTGGCACCGATACATTCACATTCGTGTGCAAGAGCCACATCAGTGCGATCCTGGGGCATGCCTTTGACCTTATTTCACCCCTTTTTCATGACCTTCGCCAATCCTCGAACAACCCCATGGCCTCTTCTTCCACAACCACAATTCCACTAAGTTCCACAAATACTATCCCCTTTTTCTTCACCTTTTCGCAATTCGAAACTTTCAAACTTTCCAAACCGAACTGCGTAACGCAGCTCTCAATAAGGAGAGCTGCATTGGCGCACCATACACCTCTACTTACGGGAGCGACTACCTCAGTAAGTCCTTGTGTTTGAAGGATAAAGCATGCTATACGAAGTTATTACGAGGTCGCCTCTGTATGGAAGCCCACTCACTCAACAGAAATTTTGAAGAAGTTTAGGCGGTGTGTTCATTCAAGGCAGGTCAAACAAAAATATTTATGGACACCATCGACCGTTCGAGGGAGAGGGAGGTGACGGGTTGCCTTGGGACCCCTTCCGAGTTAGGTCGTCCAAATTTCAAGGATTTTTCTCGACGTGAAATCTGCTTAGCTCAGCAAGTTTTAGCTTCCCTTTCGTAATTTTCTTGATATAATTCTATACTAACGGAAATGGTACCTTTGGCCATTTCTTCAAACTTCCGGACGTTCTTTTCAACATCCACTTGGAAAAACTCGTGTAGCCGTATCTTTGGAAGCACTTCAGTCCGCAGAATGTATTCGATCGCCTGTGAAGAAATGTGTAATTTTCAGGAAATGGTGATAGGTAAGTGAAGCAATTTATCTCCTCAATTCAGGAGACTCTCTCAAGAAATCACGATCACGATAATCCTGGACTCACGTTCGTGTTGTGTACGTTGTCGACAACTTCCGGCACTCCACGAGAAAGCCATTTTCCTTCGCTGACCTCCCGTCCGAAGTGGTGGTACACTCTGAATGGGTTCAGCCGTCATCAAGTCTGATTGATATCCAGGAACGAAAAGCTGTACCTGTCGACAACAAAAGCAGGTCTCAAATGAGGTGAGTTCAAACAGTTGTAAGCGCATTCTGGAATGGGTCTAGCAATATAATCGCTGCTTTTTTCGTCGGCTCAGATGAAAGGTTATCAGGCACTAGGTTGAACTCGATCATCATCCATCAAGTACTTGTTTTCAACAATTACTTGCTTCATCGAATTTCTGCTGGACAACATCTGCGAATTGCTCTTGCGTATGTAAACATCAGTTGCTTTACATACCCCTAGGCCACTTTGAACTTTATCTGTTTAATACCTTGAACTCCCTTTTTCAATGGATCGATATTTAACTGAGGACCTAAAGGTAACAGTAATCAGCGGGCGAAGAAAAAGAGCCGTCATCGGAACTGTCATGACCCTCCCTAGGCATTGGTCTCCTTGTAACCCTGCAGCATCACTTTCAATGGGTTCACGGACAGTGATCACGATGACTAGAGGGCGTTACGGTTTTGATGACGTCATCGAACGCCATTGGTGGAAGGGCGTCAGGGGTGGCCCTTCCACCAATTGCTAACCACTCAATGATTTATCACTTTAATCTGACGCTTGCAATAAAAAATATTGGATTTTAAATACATTGGGCGCACGGTCCTGCCCCTTCGCAGCTTCGAGGTCCCAAACATAGATCCCAAACTTATTTCATACCCTTTCTTGTTTGAAATGCGTTACTCCAAATCTGATGCACTTTCCGTTACATGGATATGGGAGCTCTTTGACGGTATCGCGCAATACATTTATGCAACACAGTGGCCGAACTATCCGCAGCTGTCAGATCCATTACCCATATCTACCTTCATATATTGCAAAATGTTCATTAAAATGAAAAAATTGCCTCGCTCGAAATGTTGAAACCCACGATATTGTCGCAGCGCGTTTTTGATTATACATGATTTTCATCTATGTGAAAAAAAGCGAGAACAGGTAAGGATCAAAAAAGTAAGAAACCTGGAGCCATTTAGCATTTTTGGCTGCATGATTCCAAACGACGTCCTTGCACAGTCAGCATATTCCATTCCTTCTCGATCTTCTGCACTAGCTTCTCCACATCGTCAAAAGTGACATGATGGTTTTCCTGAATGAAGACGATTCAATAAGAAAACGTTCGATCGAGAACTCTAAACACCGCCCCCTAAGATGGAACGGAACCAGCAAAGGAGAAGTAGGCCAGCGAGATGCATCAAAAATCCCAACATATGGCAAAGGTTGAGCCCTTCACAGCTACGCTATCGAGCTTGCCGGTTTTCGGATTTGATAAATTTTGTAACCGCCTCTGAAGAAGCTGATCGTCACTTTCTAACAGTAAAAAAAAACGTAAGGTCGCAGTGATTATATCAAGATGGGTATTGCCTGATGTTTTGGAACGCAAACCTCGCGTCTTCCATATCATTTAACGTAACCTCCAGTTTTCCTTAGCTATTCGCTAAACGAACTATAAGTGACCGTCTCCCACAATATGCAGAAAGCGCCGACGAAGTGAAATTGGGACCTGAGGGGCTTATTGAGTGATGCGGTTGTTCGCGCCACAATGAATTCCAATTTGGGCACGGAGAAGAAGGAATCCATGGGGGGGCGAATTCAAGTTGTTGAGGCGAAAAGGAATCAGGCGTTAATAATTACTTTCTCTTAACGCATATGACCAAAGAAGTCCAAGTCGACTTTTTAAAATCTTAGCCTAGTGTTCAGAATATGAAAGTGTAGTTGCTAAGCTTCCAACCAAAATTTACAGTCACTTTTATGGCCGCGTTTCGGTTCATTAGTTCCCTTCATTCAGAGCCTGGAAAAGTCGAAAGCTATTTAGGAAACTACCCGTCCAAACACTATTTCAACCTACAAGATTCATTCAACAGGGTGTAAACTACTAAAGCGATGTCGTGGAGGAAGATGAGAACGAACCCTTAGAAATGCTGACCAGAGAGGCATTACAAAAGAAAGTGTTGGCTGTGGATTCAAATGGGCTGGATTCTTTAAACCAGAATGCCCCCACCCCACTGCTCTTCAGCCAAGCGCCCCTACTACAACGGATGAGGTTGACGGTGACAAAAAGGGTGACGAAACAGTTAGAAAATAGAGGAACACGGAAAAAGACGACAACGTGTATGTTCAGACAAAGAAGGTCTCACACATTTGAAAGAGACTCCTAACCGGGCCATCATAATTAGCGCCGTATAAAATGGAACCAGGGGTAGGGTCATGCAGTGCGTCAAACTTCACCCATGATTAACATTTTCGTTTCAGACTACTGGGATCAAAACGTAAATTTCCAAGGTCTCACCCAGGCCAGCTGATAATAGCAAAATCGTGACTAATGAAGAATCACCTACCTCTTGAATGGACTGGATAAGAGCATGATGATCGCTAAGTGAGTAGCTGCTGTTCGAGATTCCCAATTCATGTATCGGGGTGAGGTGAATCATATTGTAGCCGCTTTCTTTTGAAACCCGAAGACGATCTTCCCAGCTTGAAAAGCTACCTGAACGGGAGCTCTTGTGCAACAGTATTAGAGGGAGACGTTCAGTTCTCCTCCTAGGTCAGGTCACCAGAGCTGCGCGATCATTGAAGCCTAAGGTTAAGCTTGGGTTTAGGCTTAGGCTTAGGCTTATGCTTACACATTGGCTTATGCCTAAGCCTATGATTGGGCCTAGGCTTAGTCCTAAGCTTGCTTCGAGCAAATGACTGGTGTCTTAATTTTAGGTGACCTGACCTGAGAAGGAAATGAAACGCACTCAACTAGCTTGACTCCTCAATTTCAAAGGTTACCTAATAGTTTAGTAAGGTGAGTTTGACATGCGATTCCATCCAATGGAAGGCGTTTCCCATTCACAATCAGCTCTGGCATCACCAAAAAGTATCCACTGCCACCTTCTCTAAACACACATCTGAATTGTTGAGAACCTCACAACAATCGATCGAGACTCACTCTTCATCGGCGGTGAAGGTGTACTTGAAGGCGCCAGCACGGGTGCATTCTACCTGGCAGTAAACTGCCAAGTGATCGGTACCACTCGTCCATTTCAACGGTTCGGCTCCAGTGAGAGTGGTACGAACGCTCACGTTCACGCCCAAAAGGGATCCTCCACGATGAAAACGAACGATTTCCCCTGAAATTCAGTAAATTGCGCTTTTAAACCAACCGCCGCGATATTGAAGCGTCAGCGTACCTTTCTCAAGTCGGCGCACTACAGTGTCCAAGTGCTGTCCTTTCTCCAATACAATTATGCGAATCTGAGGTTGCTTCGTCGTCCCCATCTCTGCGGCGCTTCCTTAAAATTTATGAATAAAAAAGAGCTACTGATAAGCCGGTATAAGCTGCTTAGACGATAGTGCTACGAACCATCGTCGAAGAGAAGCGGCTATAGGGTTACATTTTTCATTACTCCGATAAATAGTACAAGATGGCAGAAAAAACGCTAAGCTTCAATGCAGTTCTTGGTGTACGCCGTGCACTGTACCCATACCAGCAAACAGAAAGGCAAGTTTTGGAACATTTTTATAGTTACACTTCCTAATTCTCTAAAACTTTCACAGGTGTATACTCGATATCCGAGAGTTGGGGTAGGCGTGTCACCGGAAGTGACGTGCACTTGATAGAAGCTATGTGGATAAGCTGCTTCCAACATACATCGCTGGATATCAGCAAAGCATGCTGGCAACAGCTTATCCACGCAACTTC